GTGCCAGCTACCAGTGAATTTAACACAAAACTCTGCACAGCAATCTCTCACTCAAAGTGATTCTAACAGGGAAGAGGTCAGCCCCAAACCCTCACTTTCTTCCTGGGTGCCAGGATACATACAGTAGAGCATAGCTGTAAACAGCAGGCAGCAGTGATAAGGTAGATCATCCAGAGAGATAAACGGGCAAAATTCCACAAAAATATTGCCAGGCATTTTACAGTGCAAGAGCTAACACAGCAGTCTTTTCAGAGATAGCTTACTTAGCTTACAGCAGTCCATCCTGAAACACTGAAGGTGCAGTGTGGCAATGCTGAGACTCCACAGATGCCACTGAAATCACCACCTCCACCTCTTTACAAAACAAGATGCACAAAAGAGCTAATGAGGTCAGCAGGATTTTTGTTACTGTGACAAAGCAGAGTTTGCCGCTACAAAGGGCCAGGTTAGTACCTCACCCGCATGCATGCCAACTATCCAGACTCCTCAGAGTCAGGCAAAGACCAGACTGGTCCAAAGCTAAAATACAACCTCATAATGGGGGGAGCAGAAAACCTCATATAGTTTTAGAGTTTTATTTCACAATCTATTTGCTGACAGCTTTAAGTGGTTTTTGTCTTCTTTGAGGGGAGGATAAGCAAATATCTTGTGGTTGTAATGTCATAACAAATACATGATACTGAGTTTGTGAACAAAGATAGGGAGAGGCTTTAAAAAACCCTCTAAATTTAGCAGGTGACATATTTTGGGTTGACAGTCCTATTGACTGAATTCGTTTACTTGCAGAACAGAAAGAGCTCGTGTAGATGCAAGAAGAGTTTCATGCCAGGTTTAGGTGGAGCCAGTCCTTCTCGAGGCACAGACTAGATGGCCTCTTGAGAGTCTTTACCATATTGCTTTACAGGATGCATTCTGAAGTGTTCCTAATTCTGTTTTGGAGAGATTGCTTTTAGAAAAGCGTTGTTAGGCGTTACCTAACACGATGGCTCCACCTTCGTTCCCGTTGTTCTTTTCCAGGTACAGACACCTTCCTCCCCAGGAGCTGGACTGATCCCATGAGCAGATATTTCTCCCAGGCCTCCTTTGAAGGAAGGCCATAAGTGACGCACGTACAGAATTAGTGAGAGATTTGTCAGCACCTTATAATTACAAAGTTCTTTTAGTTAAAATGACATTTTTTATTATAAGAAACTAGGGGCAGAATTAAAGCAAATCTCCACGAAGATGTACTGTGTATGTGCCTATGTGTAGGCTCGGGGGCGTCTTCTGCAAAAGCCTCCCTCTCTTGTGCGTTGCAAAGGTGCAGTTCCCCTCAGAAGAACGGCAAATGCCCACAAATCTGGATTAGTACACAAGAACAAAGCAGTTAAGGATATTAGTAGTTTCTATAATATGTACATTTCTCTGACTGAAATAAATATGAAAAATGAAACTGCTCTTACCTTTCCAGCTTCTTTCATCGTCTGTTATTTAAGAATCACTACAAAAAAGTCTGACCTATATATTCCAGTTAACTTGAACGTGGAGTTCCTAATGGACAACCTTTTAAATAACAGCAGAAAATCCACAGTAGCTACTGCTTCAAGATAGGGCCTGAAAGCTCCACTGAGCACAACTCAGATCTCCTGCAATACTTTGATGAAGAGCTTTGCACACAAGAGGGAGAAAGGGTCCTTCTTCAGAAACTTTCCTCCAAGATTTAGATACAGCTAAGTGTTTCAGTTCCATGTTCCCCCTTCAATAATACTTGATCTGCCGGAGAGCTCCCCATCACCTCAATTTATTCTTACCTATAAAAATAAATCTATTAGATACATTTGGACGGGACACTTAAAACAGTGTTGCCAGGTGCTTCTGGATATGAAAAGCAGAGAGTGGGAGCTTTAATGCGGTTAGCTCTTAGTCATAGGAAAGTGATAAATGCAGAAAGAAAATATCCTCTTGTTAATGTTTGCATTTACCATTTTTTCAGGTTTATAGGCACTAGATGTTTCTGTCTTGCACCTTTAGCTAGTCAATTATACTTTCTGATTTAATAGTATTTCATTGACACAGAAGTGATAAGACAAGGTGCAAGACAAAAAACAGGCCTTGCTTCTTGATTCCTTTTCCTTTAAACTCAGCCGGCACTCTGCTATGTTTTATTTTTAGTAGAGGAATATTTAGAAGAGTTAAACTAGAACTCAAATACAACAACATATACAAAAGCTTCATCAACTCTGAAATTTACTTACAGACACACGGCAAATAAAGAGCTATAGGCCTTCATCTGAGATACACTGGACTTTCTAGAGCAAACTAAATGGCAAGCTTCCTCTCACAAACGGTCCCACTAAGTGGCTCCCCTATAGCCCCTTTGCATCATGCTGCCAACGCAAAGAGGCCATGAGCACAGTGTCAGAAACCACACAGGAAAACCTCAGCTGGTGTACACCTCAGTCCCCCTCATGGGGGGACTCTCTTTCATAAGGCAGAGGAAGGGGGTATACAACTAACTAGTTACTCTCTATATGGAAGAAAGCCATCGAGGATTGGCACACATTTTCCTGCTAGTATCCCAGGCCAGATTGCCTGCAAGGATCTGTGAAGTTCTCAGGAAGTGCTGAGGCCTTACAGCTCTGCTGCCCAGCTTCCAGAGCTGTAAGTAACCCAGGTGAAAATTAGAGCAGTCCAGAAGCTGCTCTAAGTTGTACTGTGGTGTGAATGGATGCTGACCACCCCTGGAGTCACGAGACGATATAATCACAGGCTGCTCTCTGGCAGCATTCCCACATACTGCCATTCTGCCATTCCCATGTATTTTCATGTTTGGTTTTAGGCCCAGGTCTTTTTCATGAATGTTTTCGGCAAGTTTAGTTGTAAATGATCATGTTTTCAAGACACTATGAAGACCACCCTTTCTTGTCACTTAGAAGCATAAGAGGTGACCAATTCAAAATATTTTCTTTTGCATACAAATGAGAATGCAAGTGTCACAACCTGATATTCATGACTCTGCTCTCCTCAAGAGTATTAATCTTTTCCCCAGCTCTGACAGACTTTAACAGCAGAGGCAGCAGCTCAGCGTTTCCCAAGAACTTCTCAAAAATTTTCAGAGCCCGAAACTAGGTACGTACGCAGAAGCCTCTTCTGATGGAAAAAAAGTTTAAGTCCATCCGTAACATTTTAATGTTGCTTTGAGATCTTTCAGATACATTCATTTTCTTCAATACAGAGATTACTAAACATATGAATCTTTTGGGTCTGTCCGCCACACTGTGCTGGTAACACTAGATAGCATGTTTACAAAGTTTTCGTGGTTATGTGAGTCAATCCAATGCACATTTGCCCAGATATAAAAATAAATGTTATATAATGCACAAGTCACAGAATCAATACATTGGTGGTGTGCAGCAAATAGAAGAAAATAGCACATGAACTATGAGGCAACAACTGTCCTAAAAAGCAAAAGCAGCTGAATTTCTAAACCTAAGTCATTTGATCCAAAATCTGGTCCAGTTGTTTTGTGAGCAGGAGTTGTAATAAAGACAGCAAAGCAACAAACACCACAACCCTGCTGCTTCTAAGCATGTAGAAACAAGATAATTAGGCACAGTCATAAATGTTCAAAGTCTTCAGGTAAGGCTCTTTCCTTCCTAGGCTCAGAAGAAATGTTTATTCTGTGGACTGCAAAACTGATGAAATAATGCTATTAGCAAAGATGATGATGCGTCGGGGGAATGAGGTTAAGGTAGGGAGTTCAAAAGTGAGCTTGCTGTAACTATGGAGGGACCTTCACATTAAAAAAAAGAAATTAAGGTAGCACTGCCTGTCCATTTCGCCTTTAAAATGCTGCATACACATTAACAGATGGCTCCTTGAAAATATTTTAGTGAAACATACATTTCAACCTCCTCTTTTTTTCGGTAAGTTTAGTTATTGCAAAACAGGTTTTCCATGAAGCAGGGGAATAGATAAAACAGGTACCTCCTCCCACACCAATAAAAAGCTTGTATCCAACATTATTAGATTAAACTATGATCCAGTTACACTAGTACAAATCAAGAAAAACTTCCCTGATTTCACAACTGCAAGGAAGTAGAATCTCTGTAATCTAAAAGGTATTCAAGGGGAATTTGTGGTGACTGTTTCTTCCATATAAATTGTCCACATTTTTAAACTTAGATTTTAACTAAAAATCAAAATGCCACGAAAACTTGTTTTATTTTTAAGATCTATAGGGATTTACACTATGCAGCCCAGAGAAATACAAAGTTTTAACAGAGCAGCCTGCTTAGGCAGTCCTCAGATCTTAACTTCTGCACAGCAAATCTCTCTGAAAAAATACACAGACACCTGTCGCTTTGAGAAGCTTCACTTTTTCCCCCCTAAGATGATGAATACGAAGAATAAACTGCACTCTTTAAACACAGCTACAACAGAGAAAGATAGTCCTAAAATTCCAAGTCTCTCCTCATATCCTTCCCTGCCCCAGCAATTTTGCTTTTTGTATAAGAGAGGAGCAATAAGAGTGAGATTGCATACATTTTTAGCCAGACTAGGAAATGACAAAAGGTTACAGAATTTGGAAAACCTTGCTAAGTGAACAAAGAAATACAGAAAACAAAACGAAGGCTCCCAAGGGTTACGTTATTGGACTCATCGGAAGGAAACACAGCTAGCAAGTTGGAAATATGCAACCCTGCAGCACAGGCTTTCCTGAGATAAGGCTCCAAAACAAAACTTCTGCAAACATCTCAGTGAGCCCATGCCAAAACCCAGACAAAGGACTTAGACTGGCTGCATATCAGACACAAGTTTCTTCAACATAAGAAGATAAAGAACAAAAAAAAAAATCCAAACATTCCATGCACTTTAAATGATCTATACTTTTTAAAGGTATATAGGGACAAAAGGCAGTTGTAAACAGTCTTTACCTGTACTTACTGAGCTGCAGAGAAGGAGGGGGGAAAAGGAAAAGAGAAAATGAAGGAAAACAAGAGGAATTAAAACAGGCTCACCAATTGTAAAGCTGTAGCCATCAATGCTGAAAGTAGCACTCCGGCATTTTTTAAATCCTTCCTTTCTGCTGCTTGGCTCTGTCATGATCCTGCCAGCTTGTCCTTTCAGCAGCAGCGTTTCTCTCCCGCCGTGGAGGCAGAGCGCTCGAGCTAGCTCCTAGCCGCCCTTGCCGATGTGCCTGTGACAGCACGCACAGCCAACTTCACACATCTCCCCGCGCGGGGAGCCGACCCCGCGAGGCACGCACCCTGCAACACTCTCCTCCCCCCGACGCTCTCACTGGCACATTCCCAGCACCGGCATGCCTCCTCCGACTTTAACAACTGGTTAGAGCCCCTGGTATCTAAACCAGCAGTCAATTAGTGTAAGACTAACCGAGTCAATAAGCCGGTCGTATCTGGCAAATCTCTGTGTAGGAGTTCAGGATACAATTAAGAAAAGATGAAGGGTTAGATTTTGCTATGATCTACCCACTGACACTCCTTGTGTTCCCTGCTATGCTTCAGTCCCTGCTTCTGTAGCTCCCCTTGCTCATGGGGACTTCTGGCTTGCAGCAAATTGTGCTCAGATTTCAGCCCTTGGAATACGAGCAGCGTGGTTTAATCGTTCCAGATACAATGAATCAACCCAAGATTACAGTACACCATCAATCATCTACTTCTTGTACTAACTGCAAAGCTCTGGAAACACTGTTGGCGATCGAATACAAAAGATGATTACCACTAAGTAAGAACGTAAGTGACTGCGGGAAAATAACAAAAGTAATTTAAAAGTAGTGATGATAAACTAAGTGAAATGCACATGCTCGCATGAAGAAAAGTCATCCAAGCTCTTCCTCCTCCTGGTGGTTCATCACAGGGTTTATAAACTCCTCTTTGCAATTTTTTCCCCAAGGATCTTTAAAAATGCGATTCAGAGTGCGGCAACACTCTGCGGAGAAAGGAAGGCAATTAGCCCCATTCTATGAACAGACAAAATTAAGAGATTTAAGGCTGACAAAGTTTCCCCAGAAGTTTAGCAGCCAGCCAAGATTTTATAAATAGGTATCCAAGAAAGTGCTGTCAACGTTTTAATGATTCCAGTTCACATAAACCTGAGCAAATCCTATTCTTTTTTTTCTGTGACGGGGGTTAATATGGAAACATGCTTCCAAAGCAATAGGTTCCAAAGCATAAAGGTAAATTGCAGTTAAATTCACCAGACTTTCTATTGTTCAGGGTGTAAAAGGCATGGAAACATTGAGTTGAAAGGAAGATTGCAGTAAAAATAATAACTGAGACAGTTTGCTGCAACACACCAAAACGTTTACAAAATATCAGCAAATCTAGTCTGTGTTTAAGGTACAAACCTCCACCCTACCTTGGTTTCTTGACAAAAGCTTAAGTCAGATTGAAATACAGCACTCTTTAAATCCCTTCTCTTCAACAAAGGGTGGATGAGAGCCGTTACTGATTTCCAGCACAGTTAATTTAAGCCACGCTTAGTTTTAGCCCAGTGAAGAGCCTTGGCCAAATATAATTGTTTTTATTAACAAATGTTTTCATGAATTTGGATGTTCAATAATAACACAAGTTTTTAGTCCAACATTAGGCAAGCCTCCACTCTCGGACGTGGAGTTTTTGAGGGGCAAATAATTGTGCCCACAATTTTCTCAGCTTGTTAGGATTATAAAATGATCCTAGAAAATGGATTTTACTATTACACTTGCCTTCTTAGAGTGCAAGTTAATTAAGAAAAACACTGTTAGTAGGCTTTTTTTTTACAGGAAGGAGGACCTGGTCTTCCAGATTTCTTGGCCTTTCGAGACTGAAGTTGAAATAGTAATAAGTTCCTAGCACTTCCACTTAGTACTTAACACTTCCATCACCTGCACTTGCAATTATTTTCGTTGACCTCAGAAGGGCAAGCACAAAAATCAGCATTTTAAAAAAGATGCTGCTGTAAATGCAGCCACTGTAATGTTTCCTAGAGTCCCTCATTTAGCTGCCTCTCCTTTACAGACTGAGTATAAAGTGTGTTTCTAAGGAATCATTTTCTCTGTCACTGGTTATATAGGTCACACACCTACATAAGCACTAATGCTCTGCCTAAGAAAGCAGAGCCACAGAGGATTACTCATACTATATCTAGAGAGCAGAAAGTTAAATGTTATCTAAAAGTGAATGTGGGTAAGGGGGGGGGGGGGGGGGGGGGGTGGATTGTGTGTGTTTTTTTTTTAACACGGATTTTTCTTAACTAAGAAAATGTTGATTCATCAAAAAATTGTGGAAAGATACCAGTGATCATGAAGTTTCAGCCAAGATTGGTTTCTCGGGTCCAGGAGAGACTTACTGCAAAAAAGCCAGGCAGTCACACTCTTGCTTGCTGCCCATCTTGGCAGTCCAGGTACTCATGTAGGAAGCAGGAGAGTCACATTTGCATTTCTCTTCTCAGCTGAATGCCCTGATTACCAAGCTACAGCCTATGTGGATCATTCCTGATGTCCTTCACTGGGACCTCTGCCACTTTGTACATATTGCCAAAGAGAAAAGGACTCTCACTCAGCTGCTGTGCACACCTGGAACACCTTGTGAAGATCAGTTTGTTCAAGCCCCAACTAATATTTATTGAAATAATTGTAATAATTTCATAAGGGCAAAGTGGAGAGATTTCCACAGAAAAAGTAAAGATAGCTGCCAGTCACTTAGCAGGGAGAACTCACAAATAAGCTTAGAAGCTGTGTCTCCCAAATTGGAGGAGAAGGCCTTAAACTGTCTGCTCAAAGTGGGATGCTCTCTCCTTTTAGAGGTGCAGAAGGTCTCGCCTCAGGGTGAAAAGGGACATGTTTTAACCTGCAAGTTTTTCAAGAAGGAAACAGTTTCTTCCTAGCTCTAGTAAAAATTTAATCTGGTTGCCCAAAGAATTACCAAATCGTATTGGTAACTTGATGCCTGATCCTATCTGATTCTTTGCATTTTGCTACTCAGCTCCTGGCTAGATTTCAGTTCTGCCATTTACATTCTGCCCTCATAAACAATCCCTGTAGATTTACCTGGGGTATGGTACATTTTCTACCTTACACTGCCAGGCAGTACCAATATAGATTGTTAGGCAGTTCTTGCGACTGCAATTCAGTGCCGTGTAGAGCAATCCATGTATGTCGTTTGTGAACCACCTGGGGATCCTTTGAGATGAAAAGCACAGTGTGAATTGAAAATATTTATTATTATTGCTGTAAACAGACCAGGGTATCCATGGTAACATTTAATTTGTCAACACATAAAACAGTAATTACTTTAATATTTTCCCTTTACTTTTCAATGTGCAGAAGGGTTTGTATATTTTCAGGAAATCTATTTTAATCAAAGTTCTTATCAGATTAAACCAATGATCTATCCAGTCTGCCATCCTCCAACATACACATTAGAGGAAGTTGTGGGAAAAAACCCAATCACCCCTAAGACAGTGTTGCATATTTGTGTGTCCCTATCCCCAGGCAGTCACCTTCTGCCTGACAGTCTGAAAAGGTACATTCTTTCTATAACTTTGTCTCAGCAAGACTGAAAGGTTTTTAATTCCAGATCACATCCAAATCCTTTCCTAAACACAAATTTTGAAAATCAGTTGCATACAGAAATACTTCCATGTATCAGCTCAGAGGTATGGCTTGTTGTTTCAGTTGTATATCCGCTGGCTCTTGCACTGTGAGAAAGGGAAAATAAAAGCACCAAGTAAAATCCTAGCCCTGCTGAAGTCAATAGCAAAACTCCTACTCAGTTCAGTAGGGCTAGAGCTTTATACCTCTAATTTTCCTTGCCTTTGCTTCTGTTGGCACAATTCCTAATACAGTCAAGTTTCGTGAGAGCAGTGATGAATTTAGAGCCTAGGCGTCCGTGTGCGTATGTAGTAACTGCTGCTGAAGTTCGCAGAAATGGTGTGAAAGACTAGGCTTAGGATCACTGAATTTGTCTTTTCAGAAACATCTCAGGTGCCCTAACTTAATGGCTGATTTGACTGTGAATATTTAGAATATAAATCAGTCCTGCTGGGTCAGACCAAAGGTCCATTGAGCTCAGTGTCCTATATCCAACTCTGTATCATATCTCCATCAGTGTCCATAAAAGTAGATGCTAAGGAAAATGATTAAGAACAAGGCAGGCTATGGTGATACTATGTATCCAACTACTGCCAGCTCACGTACTTTCTGAGCCAGGTATGTTTTCAATATGTTCATAAACCCTCAGAAGCATCCACAGCATCCTTTGGCAAGGAGCTCCACAGCTTAACTAAACTGTATGAAGACATCTTGCTTTTGTTCACTTTGAACCCATCTCCTTCTAGCTGCTTGGTTGCTCATTAATACGCTACTCCCTTATGACAGCAATAAGGATTCTGACGCCTGACGGCTATGAATCCAAAGGTGAGGAGCGGTTACACAGGAGGCAGCAGGGTCCCCAACTTTTTGCCTTTCTAGTATCAAGAAAGTACTGAGATGGCAGGTTCCAGTGACAGTAGACCACAAAAACACCAAGCAGGCCCAGAGGAGTCCGTTCTTTGATTTACCAAAAGTTTATGAAAATAAGGGGTTCCAACCATCATAGTTTTGATTTTATAGACAGATGGAATTCAGGACTGTTTTAGAGGGCTTTCTCGTCACTGGTGTTGATGTAAACTGAAAACATTTAACATCCCAAAGAAGAGCTCAGCACTTTTTGGGACTGAGCATGACGGACCAAGAATTGACAAATCTCTTAAGAAAGCATTTGAAGCTTCACAGAGAAGAAATTAAGCTGAAATCCCCTGAGATGTTTAGTACATTTTTCGAAAGCAACAATGCAGTTATGTACCACAAGTCGTTTATGGAGAGGTAGCATTCTTCCCTGAAAGCTTCTTTCTTTTACTGTTTCCTAGAAGTACTCCATCTGCATGTTATGATTTTATCAGAAGTTGTCATTGTCAGGAATATCCACTATATTCCAATTATTTTTACGCATGACAGCCAGAAGGCAATGACTTTTTAATGCTCAGCTGTTCTGATGCTTTCTACTTACTTCAAGCTTTACCATTTTCTCCCTCACCGAATGCTGACAAAAGTGTGCTGGAGTATTGTCTTGGGTTACACTACTTTATATTTCCTAGTGCACACTCATTCTGGGTTATTTTAAATGACATCAT